CCCCCCCCCCCCCTAGCTACGGGCCTGATACACTATTCAAAAGTTTGACTGAATGCACTCTATTTATTGCGCGCGTCTAAGTAAGTGTTGTTGTTCAAAGGAAGTCTGGACCCAATATAGAGTCGTCCCAGTCCTTCACCCCAAGCTTAGTTCTCACTTCATTCAAACAATGGCTGCGGTAGAGTTTCTGAATATTTTTACGATGTAATATTAACTCGATTTTCCACCTCTTCTAGCTTGTAGCCATGTTCAAGATTGGCCTTAAGAGAAATAGAATATTTCTACTTGCTGTGGTGGTTTTAAGTCCTTTTATGTACCACGTAATTCAGGAGGAAAGACGAGGTAAGTGTTTGCTTGTTGGTTGGATAAATAAAGCATAACAACCATAATTACTTTAGAAAATATTTCATATTATCTTTAATTTGGGACGCTTTTCCTTTTTATCGTTAAATAGAAAGTCCATGTTTCATTTCATGTAACTTGATGTCTTTCCTATTTGTTAAGATATTTTAGCGACGTCCAACTTTTGACATAAGCTTTTTTAAACCTTAACTAATCAGAAACTATAAGAGAGGCTAATATTTACCGTTGTGAACAAAAACTTTTGTAAAATATAATAGTTATTGACGAAATAACGTAATAGCGAAAGCTTTAGCTTAGTTTCGAATTGTCTTAAATCCATTTGGAGTCAAAGTTGCCCATTACCTTCTAGTATCATAATATAACTAAGCTTATATATTACAACTTATTATTTATTTTCTGTTCTCGTTAGAGACGTGAACTGTCGTTATCTACGACTCTTATCTCGCAGCCTTTAAACAAAATATATTGCGAAAGAAAGAACCTTTAAGTATACTACCATAATTATTGATGGCTGTAATTAATTTGCAGTGGTATTTTGCCTTTGTTTATATTAACCTTGCTGGTAAACTTGTGTGTGTCGACGTGTGTCTCGTGTACATATAAGATCAATGTAAAAAGATCACATTTTATCTCGAATTGTTACTAAAGCTAAGTTTTTCAAGAATACTTTGCTCTTTATGCTCAAGCGACTCTAAATTACGTTATATTGGACTAGTTTTTAACAGTCTTTAACTCCACAACAATGAATTTTATAACCTTTTGAATGAGGAGAATAAAAAAAGGGGTTAGTCAAGACATTAGCAGCTAAGTGGTGCTGAGATCATCTTACACTGTGAAGCCAACACAGCTCATACATTTTTTATATCATGATAGATGAGGTGATAATTAAGCCATGTGGGATGGGCTTGGATATCATATAAGAACATGCATATTAGGTAAAGTACGAGCCTTATATGAAACGACTGAAGAAGAGTGCCATACAAGCCTTTCACAACTTCTGAAGTTGCATCAAATGAGCCATCTCAACTAGAAACCGTGGATAGCTGTTTAGGCCTGTATTGGGCTTCATCAGCATGGTGTATCTAGTGAGCTGGTTGAATCCCACGAAAAAGTAGTACATGATAGATGAGGCAATAAGAATGAACGTAAAGGAATCAATGACAAAACTGATCACTAAAGTCTCTAAATTTGTATTATATTTACTCTTGTGGGGTCCAGATCCTACACATGTACAATAGCTAGTTGATTACCAAGCTTATAGTACACTCGACAAAATTACTCAACTCTGATTGGTCGAGAGGAGTACAATTATAGCGTTAATTGTACTCCGTAGGAGTACTGAATTAAGTCGCTATGGCAACACGGCCAAAACAATGTCAAAACAATTATTTCCTATCATTTTGTACTTAAAAAACATATAAATGAAATGTTAAAGCCGTAAGAACTAATGTTTTTTATGCATTTCAGTTGCGCGATGGACTGGAAATCGGCCGCCAAAAAGACAAAAATGAACGGAGTGAACTATAAACAAAAAATCGCACGATCTTCTCGTACAATTTTGAATTAATAGACACTCGTAATGTTTTGAAAGTTCTTTAATTGCACTCACCTAAAGGCTCGTGCAATTACAAGAACTTTCAAAACATTACTCGTGTCTATTAATTTCCAAATTGTACTCGAGATCGTGCGATTTCCTATACTAATGTTATGTTAGGCCACATTCTTATAGGACACAACTTTGGAGATGGCCTTAAATTGAATTAAGCAGTTTAATTGTTTTTCACATTAATATGTTTTATTTATTCAATAATTATCAAATAAAAACTGAAAAAATATAAAAGAAGGGAGAAAATAGGGTTGACTCTGCTTGTAGGGTAACAATTATTATCTGCCAGCTGTAAAGTAAACACAATACAGATGTAAGATTTGATGTAGGACAACTCTGTAGAGATTCAATGAGAAAAAAATTAAATCTACATGTAGTTCATGGACTCTCAAATTATAGCAGGTTAGCAGTCTAGGGCTGCACCAACATGTAGTAGCTTGTAGGTCATGGGTTCAATCCTATCCTATCAGGGACTCTAATTTTTTCAGAGTTCCTTTCAGCTGGAGACAAATGATCAATATTTTAATGCCAGTCATTTCTAGTTTATAAATAAATTCATCACACATAGCTTGTTCTTGATCTATAGATCACTCTAGATTCACAGTCGATTTCCCTTATTATAATTAATAATGCCTCAGGTCTAGTTTTCAAGAATAAGGATTTTCCCGGGGGGTTATGTATTGTAACAATGCATTAAATTTGTTAAACAGTACATTATTCAAGAACAAACTTTATTATAATTCAGTAACGTTTTTAAAATTCTGTCTACTGGATGATGTTTGGAATAAGAACAAGGTATTTTGAAATTATACAGTCTAGTTAAATAGGAAAAGAATCCTAAATCACACTAGTATAATTTTCATATATTTTCGTCAACTGAATATGAAAAATATACACCCTTTAAATTTTCTTGAGTCAAGGTTAATTGCATTTATTTAATATCTGCAGTAGTTACTGGTTTTTGTTTCAGTCCATCCATTGTTATTCCTTGTTAAAAAATCTTGAATTATTTATTAATTGATAATTGGATATTACCCGTCAACACTACTTTGGTTTACCGGTTATCATTATAGATACAAAAACTGGGGCTTCTACCTCTTTTTATTTGTGAAAAGATAAATATTTAAGAAAGAATATATTTGTAATAATATTTTTTTTTGTTTTTTGTTAAATGGGTAAATCTGAAATAAATTTACTATGCCAACAGTAACTTTATTCATTCTTCAACAATGTGAAGTACAGAGTGCTTTGAATTTTTAAGATTATTAGCATAATATATTTAATTTTGTTGCTAGCAAGGCTGAGGGGATCTTAATTTTTGTTGCTTAAAGCAATTTGATGTAACTGATGTTAGTTTTTTTGAAATGAAAGAATTAAATTATGTACGAAATTTATAAGGATGCTTGGTCTGTCATCACACACTCGATCCACTAGTTTGTTTATACTCAAAGGCTGTAATTCCAGCTGAACGTGTTTGTGAAATCATTAAAGGCGGTAAATGGGTCAGTATTAAATAACATTGTTATGTCAAACCAACACCATTCATGATGTGGCGAAATGAAAATTAGGCATACTGTAGTTTAAATTGAGACTGCTGGCCAGCGGTTTCTTGCATGTATGCACTCAGGCGGCCCCCATTGCATGCTGGGGGTTCGCACATGTAATCAGTGTTGCAAATTATGGTGATCCTTCGCTCTTGTTGTAAAGAATATGCTTGTTGAATGCCAACTGAATTTCCTTGTTATGACTGTCACTGGTGACTGGCACATCAGCAGTGGCATTAGGGCACCTATAATCCCAACCTCATCATTCCCAATGAGTTTATTCTGCCATTACTGCATTTATAGTACACTCAACAAAATTACTAGACTCTGATTGGTCGAGAGGAGTACAATTATAGCGTTAATTGTACTCCGTAGGAGTACCGAATTAAGTCGCTATGGCAACACAGCCAAAACAATGTCAAAACAATTATTTTCTATCATTTTGTACTTAAAAACATGCAAATAAAATTTTGTAGCCATAAGAACTAATCTTTTTTATGCATTTCAGTTGCACGATGGACTGAAAATCAGCCGCCAAATAGACAAAGATGAATGGCGTCGCTTCGCATTTTTTACTGAAATTTTGTTGAGTGAACTATAAACAAAAAATCGCACGATCTTCTCATACAATTTTGAATTAATAGACACTCATAATGTTTTGAAAGTTCTTTAATTGCACTCGCCTAAAGGCCCCACAATTGCAAGAACTTTCAAAACATTACTCGTGTCTATTAATTTCCAAATTGTACACAAGATCATGTGATTTCCTATACAAATTTTAGGCTAATCTTCCTTTTAATCTTAATTTCTACAACAGGTCACTTTACGCAGCCTACATTCTCCATGGATCCAGAATTGCTCCAAAGGATTCAAGACCTAAGGGAAAGACTACGGAATGCCGAATTTCAAAATTCTGCCAGATCTCATGAACTTATTTCTCTTCAAGCTCAATTATCTCAATTGATATCAAGCCATTCCAGAACTAATCAAAAACAGCTAAACACTAGCAATAATAATAATGCAATGATGGTAGCTGATAGCTCGTCATTGAATTTACCTAGTATTTATCATTTAATGCCGCATTTGATGGACCATCCTGACAGCCTTGTACCAGCTCTTCAAGTTAGTAAAGATAGAGTTGGAGGTGAGATATATATACTTTCATACTTACTCTTTTCTTATCCTTGGGAAGCATAAGGTGGTGTGCTCTGCTAATGTGTTGTGTCTCACAAATGTCACTGCAGTTCAAGTCCTGCCACTGTAATGCAAATGAATTGGTTACTTTTTTATCCATGCAGGCAGAGATGGCTTATTCTCGGCTCTTGATTAAAGCCCTTATGATACCAGATCAAATTCAAAACTTAGCAAAACCCTCAAATAACAGGAGAGAACTAACAAGCAACTTTGCTTACATATGAGACCCAGTCTGGGTATGCTCCCCAATTTCAATTTTGGGATGGAGCTCATTAAATTTTATGAACTTTTCAAATCATACCTCATGCCAGAAGATTGGTTCCAGAAGAACTATTCCAGAAGAACTATGCAGTGGCCAACATATAATGATATTTTAACCTTGGCATTTGTTTTTACAGTATCACTTGTTTTTGGGATTCCAACCATTAGAAGGCAGAAATCATCTTACTTATTGAATACTATAGCATCTTTGCTAGATGGAATGTCTCAAGAAGACAAAGATGACACTGTTATTGTAATATTTATAGGAGAGGTGAGTTAATGATCGACCACCTTCCATGTTCTTTCTCCGCGCAAAGCTTTGTGCAACAGGAAACTGATGAAAAGAATTAGATATTAAAAAATACTTGACTGATTATGTATGATTATAATTTATTATTATTTCCAGACAAACCCATCTTATACCAAGGAGATCTCTGATGCAGTGACTAAGAGGTAAAACTGAAACAGTTGGGCCTAATGGATTTTTTCTTTAAGTAATCTTGATTTTGATGTTAAATCTTTGAAAACATGTTGTAATTTTGCAGATTTCCATTAGAAATTGGGGCAGGCCTCATTGAGATTGTTGCACCACCTAGCACCTTCTATCCAGACCTCAACAATGTGCCATTAACATTTGGAGACTCTAGAGAGAGAGTCAAGTAAGTTTAGCCACTCTAATAACCTTTAATTTCCCTGTTAAACTCTCACACCACCTGTGATTTCCTAGATGTATAAAATGATGTTTACCAGCGTGAGGTCAGGGGAGGGGAGGGGAGAAAAATGGAGGGGAGGGAGGGGTTACATGGGATTGGGTGGTAAAGCTCAAGGTCTGTACTCTTTTTATTGGTTGGCACGTGATAAGGTTACTTATGAAAGGGTTTTTGTTTATCAGATGGAGAACAAAGCAAAATCTTGATTTTTGTTTCTTGATGATGTATTGTCAAAAGAAAGCAAGATTTTATATACAGGTACAGCTGTAGCAATCTTAGGAAACTTTGTAATTCTAAAGCATTGAGAGAATCAGTCATAAATTAGAAGAATAGAGAATCATTAATTATAAATATGTGTATGAATGATCCATAACTTGAAAAACTAATGCTAAATTTTTTCTTCCTTTTTGTGCATGAAATTAGTATGGGAACTTGACTTTTTATGCATTTTTTTGCGTGATTTCCATGCAGCTAGAAGATGACATTGTAGCAACACCAACTTATGCTCACACTATCAAGACCTTTGCCCTTCAACAGGACAGCAACCGTTGGTTTATGCTGGAATTTTCATCTCTTGGTTTCATAGGTAAGATAAATTAAAGAATGTGGATTTGCAGGAATATCTATAAAAATCTATAAAATATAGAGTTGAGTATGTTGTAGTATTGACTTTATTTGCCATGGCACAATGTTAGCACATGTCATTCCCTGGAGTATGGCATCATTTCTTTGTTTAATGGTTGCGCATGAGAAGAAACATGAATATGGATACAACTCAAACAAAGAATCTTGATCTCTAGGAAATGAAATGTTGTTTGAAACGGGAAATCATTGCACCACAACAAATGAGGTCTATTCCAGTCAAATATCTACTAGATATTTTATGTTAATTTCATCCATAAAATTATACACCCAACTTTCTTTTTTCATATTGTACATATTATTTATTTTCAGGCAAGCTGTTCCGCAGTTCTGATTTGACCAAACTGATTGAGTTCTTCCTGCTGTTCTACAAGGACAAGCCTGTGGACTGGCTTCTTGACCACATCTTATGGGTCAAAGTTTGCAATCCAGAGAAAGATGCTGTATGCCTTTTTTTAATATATAAATTTATTCAATGACTATATATGCAGTCCCAGGAATATTTAATCATTTCTCCTGCCCTCTGGAGATAGCTAGAGCAGACGCTAGTGGGGGAATGACGGGAACTGGAAGTGCCTCACAGCAGCTGTGCAGGAGGCAATCTAGAGATGGACATTAGATATTGAAATTTACCAACAGTTTAGAACTGTTTACAGCTTGGCGCAAAAGTATGACCACCTTTAATATATTCACATACTTCTATGAACAGGCTTCTGTACTTTAAACTGATGCATCCCAATTCAAAGCTGGCTTGGGTGCTTCTACTGACCAAGGTACATTAAAGCTCATTTGGAAGCAAAGAGCCAGTGCATAGATTGAAGAATGCATACATTAAAAATGTGGTCAATACTTAATATGTGTGTTGTGCTGTAAGTGTCTAAGAGTATGCTGTGTAGTTCCACTTGTACCAACCCAAGGGATGGATTTAGGATTTAAATAATGGGGTTGGCTACCCAAGCTAATACCACAAGAACTCATGAAAGGTGGGAAAAGGATTTAAAAATGGAAATTAAATTTGAAAACTTGTAGTAAACCAACTGAAAGTTTATTGGAATGAGTATTTTCAATGTGCAAAAGAAGATGGGTGCGTGTGACTTGTCAACCCCCTCATCACCCCTGGATCTGCCTATGCAGCCACAGGGTGGGGCTAGTAAATTGATTTGAATTTTGTTTCATTGTCACCTTATTAGGCTCACTGCAACAGAGAGAAATCTCAGCTAAGGATTCGCTTCAAGCCTTCTTTATTCCAACATGTTGGGAAAGAATCATCTTTGAAAGGGAAAAAACAAAATTTGATTGTGAGTAGAGCTAATGTTATGCATAGTTTCAAAATCTTTTCTATAATTTTTAACTTACTTTGGATATTTCAAAATCCTTTCCATAAATAATTTTAAAATTCCTCTTCATTCTCCCTTTGAGCATTTTCTTTGTTTATTGACATTTATTAATCTGTTTTTTCTAGGATAAAGATTTTAAGAAAGCACCTTTATTCCAAGCTCATCTCAACCCCAAGGCTCAAGCCATAACCACACTAGAGAGCTATCAGAAGTTCACAATAGATAGGACTTATATGGGCCAGACCTTCTTCTGGTGTTACCCTCCACATATGAATGATGTCATACGTATTACATTTGACGAGCCAATCAGTATACAAAGGTAAGGGACCATTCATTTTTTTTTTAGGGAAGCCCTGAGGGTGACAAGACAGGTAACCAATACAAAAAATGTGACTCTCCTTCTCCATTGTTGCACAAAAAATGGCTCCTTTCTTTGTATTACATTCTGCTCATTGCAAAATTAAATGCTATGGGACTCCTGATTTTCTTATGACTTCCCACAAATCACCCCCTCCCCGTCCCCCACCAGGATTTTTTGCAAACTTGGTTCATTGTCTGCTCTGACTGTTAATTGTTTGTGTATGTGCCAATAGCTTTCGTTTCAAGTCTGGTAACAATGAACATCCAGGAGATATTCTACTCAATGCTACTGTTGAGGTGTTAACATTAGAATCTAGAAAGGCAGCTAAAAGATTACCAGGTAAATGAATAAAATAAATAGGATTTAGCAGCATCATTTCCACAGAGTGGCTCTTCATTTATTAAAATTCCATTAGTAACAGCTTTCCCCCCTTTCTTCTTCTATAATACTTTTATCAACCCCTGATCTAATGCTACTCAGTAAGTTTTAAAAACCAAAGATAACAATTTTATTCGAGCCCAAGTTTATTTTTGGTTTATCAATTTTATTCAGGCCTACCTGCAGGTGCATCTCCAGAAGCAAAAAAGAATTACACAAGAAATGAGTACCCCCTGTCTGCTTACACAACAGTGGGGCAATTTAACAGTTATGGGTTAGCTGAAGGAACAGTATCTAAAAATCTTGATAAGGTTGTGGAGCTAAGAATACGAATCCTGACACATCAGAGTCCAAACTGGATTATTATTAGTGAGGTATGTTATATCATTCTATCATTCTTCCTGGATACTCTATTTGTAAATTAATAGTTATTATAAAATAACATCAATATTACTGTTCTAAATCTTGCATACTGATTAGTTAGGAGAGCGTGCTTTATGAGAGCACACAGCATGTGCACGCACTTTCAGTTTCGTCATTCATGTAATTTTGTATTTTATTTTTTAATGCTTCTACTTATGAATCGGTGCCAGTGTCTTACGTAGGCAAACTTCAGTAGGCAAAACTAATACGTAGGCGGACTTCAATAGGCGAACCAATGCGTAGGCGAAACAATCGGATACCGAAAAAAGGGGGCGCATATGCTGTGTGGAGTTATATTATAAGGCACGTGGGGGTTGGCATAACCCTTGAGAAGTGTCAAGAAGCACTATGCTTCGCGTCGGTTTTTCACATGTCAATAAAAAGTGTTTAATCAAAGATATACTAAGTTTAACTCTCATTATCATTAATTGTTATCATAATCATTTTTTTAAATCTTTTGTCCACAGATTCATATATTGCCCAGAAAGAGTAGCTGACCAACTGACAGTTACCTGAATTCAAAATATTTTAAATATTAAATTTTCTAGGCTTGTATGCATTTTTTGTATACATTTTTGAATTTCCAACTTCATGATGAAATAGAGGCATTTTGTTACATCTTATTTGCTGGCTCTGTTTCATAATTTCGAAGACAAATAATCAAAAAATCATTGCCATAGTTTGCAAATGTGATGAAAATGGATCATTCCAAAAACAAAGAAAGAATTCAATTGGATAAGACTGCCATGTTGGTTCAAGTTCGTATTGGAAAGGTATAGAAAAAAAATATCCCTGGTTCAATAGACTCTCTAAGGTAGTGTGAGGGCTCACTCTAGAACCCAAAGTATGGTACAAGAAAAACAGTTTAAACAGACCTCTTTTATAGCTTAAAAAATCCTTGAATAATTAATGACCTTAGAACAATAGAAAATCACTACATGAAGGCATCTTTAAACCCTGATACAGAATTCGTCCTGATTTGCATAAGATTGATTTTGAAATAATCTCGGCCAAATTACATATGATATTAAAACTTTTACTCTAAAAAAGAAGCATTAATCTAGAAATTTAAATGAAAAGTAATATACAAAAGATTGTTCGTGTGAAATCTGTATGAGGTTTAAAACTCATACCTAACCCTAAAAATCCTCATACAGATCTCCCACTCATATTGTATATATTATTACTTAAGTGTTGCTTTCTCATTTCAAACCAAGTGGTTTCTCCCCATTTCAAATGATGTTTTTCCATTTCCTGTCAATCTTTCGAGAGAAATAATCTTTAAGTTGTGTCCATGTTCATAAACAAGTCTTATGTGCAACTGTTAATAAACAAAGAAATGATACTCTAGGGAATGACACATGTTCTGGAATGAGAAAAAAACACATTATGCCTAAACTAAAAAGATCATTAAACCCACATGGTAGGTAGTTAGATATGAAATTTTGCAATAAAGCATGCATAAATGTGCATGGTAATTGCAGAAGATCATCGAAATTAAATATTATACTGAAATTAGTTAATAACACAGTTTTCCCTTACTTCTACAAATTTCCCACTCTAAATGAATGTCTAACATGAAAATATAGCATGTATGGATGACTCTTATTTATTAATTAGAAATTAAAATATTGATATTAATTGCACTATTCAGAATGAATAAGACGTTACACTGGATTAGGATAAGAGAATATACTCTATTCTATACTCAGAAATGATTATAGAGTGCACATACTAAAACCGTGAACATTAAATAGTGTACTAATTAGTACTATTTCATACAGAATCCTTTGTTTTCTWTTGTTTAATTATCACTATTTAGTGCWAAAAATTAGTATTTGTTTCACGGATTTAGTGTGAGCACTCTAACTAACAAAAAGTAGACTTACAGTATAAAAAGGTTGAAAAAGTAGAAAGTGTTCAGGAAATAATTTAAGTGCAACTTGAAGTGTTCAATACTCACCATTTGAGTGTCCACTGTAACAATTTTTTTTACAAAATAGTAAAAATTGCATAATTTGTTTGCAGTCATACCAGTCATTGGTATAAAGGTGATGTGTGAAATATTCAATAATTTTGAGGTAATTCGAAATACTATAGAGCATACACAATTTTAGTTAAAATTAATTTTAATCAATTAAAATTAATTAATTAGTAGCACATAATTCTAGTGTTATCCAGTCATGTCACATTTCAATAATTATTAATGATTATATCACATTCAGTTACTGTTAACTAATAAAATGCTAAGTTATTAATAAAAATCAGTTTGATTGATCTTTCCCAGGTTTTTGCAAATCGCGAGGTTATAAAACTAATTTTTTTAAGTTTGAGACTACTTTGCAAGCTATCATTAATTTAGTCCGAATAATTATTTTATGTATTTAGAGTAAAATTTTAACAAATTGGTGGATTCTGTCAGTGCAGTGGATTCAATATTATTATTTTTTAGTCTGGATCTTGGTTTCATTTTCATTGTTAGAGTTTCAAGGATCGCAGATCTTTACTCTCTTCAGAAATGTTTTCTGTTTGTTTTTGTTGGTTGACACAAATAATACCAGGCAGCTAGATGTCAATGAAATTAATTGCAGATTTGGATTTGAGCAAATTTTACCCAAGAAATCCCTGGGACTGTCCCTAAAAACCATGCATATTTATTAGCAGACAGTGTATCCTCTCAGGGATAGGTAATTAATTACAAGGAATGGTCAAGGCGATACACTGTAGGTTAGAAAATTACTGAATTTTTGCTATTTAGTCAACTTATAGGAGTTCAAGCCTCCTAGGAGACCAGATGTCCCTTAAGGGGCACTATCACCTGATGGCAGCCATGACAGCATGCAGGAACAATAGACCTCCTTGGCTAGGTGAAATGTTTTCCCATTTCAAACTTGTCATTCCCTGGAGAATAATTTATTTAGCGGATACACACAAGAAGGCACTAATTATGGATACAAATAATACGAAGAATCTTAATCTCAAGAGAATGACACATGGTCTGAAATAAACCACTACGCCGAAGCCTAGGTCTATTGAATCTAATCTAATTTGCATGAGAATTAAGTTCCCTCCCAGGGGACTGAAGTCTATAATTATAGTAATTCTGCCTCATGTCATCATGTGATGGTGTAAGTGTCACACACTTATGGGGAGTAAAGACTGCTGGGTAACCACGCTAAGCATGTCTGCTTTGGAAGTTAGGGAATTCACCATTTTTCATACATTGGTTCACTGCAAGCGCTCAAGCAAGGTGCCAAGGTACTATCAAAGGATTATTCAAATTCAAACCTTGTAACCTCAACTGAATGCTTTGTGTTTGACCAGTAAACCAATGTATGGAAAATGGTGAATTGCTATATTTAATTTTCAGGGGTAGACCCTGGGGGTCCAAGGGGTGACCTGTGCTGCACGGAACACCTCCCAAATGCAGTAATTACTCTTACACTTTATTAAAATGATGCATTTCCATCATTTGGGACATCCCCCTAACGACTTCCTGGCTCTGCCCCTGATAAAGGGTAAACAACAATTGGCTACCTGCTGTAGTGCTTCCCAACTGTCTCCCCAACTTTATGACAAAAGGGAAGGGAAGCAATAAGCCCGAAGCGAGATGATGTTTTACCCCCGTCTCTGGACTATAATCCTTTTCACACTGCTTTTGTTCTTTAATTATGACTATTGTTCCTGTATTCTCTAAGGAATCAAAAATTTTAATATGAAAAAAATTTTAAAAATATTATGGTATAGAGTTGGGGGTAAAACGTCATCTCGCCTCAGGCTTATTTAGAAGTTTTTGAACAACGATAAAAAGTTGATAAAACTGGAAATTTATGCTTGTCGTTACTATTTTGAGACCTTTATTGATTTTTTGTTCTTAGTCCAAAAATCCAACGACAGTTTCAGATGGAATTACAAAATGTGGTGAAAATACAAAATTGAAGAACCATGCAGCTAAGTCAGCTATTATTGACTTAAACAACTAAAGAAAGACCTTGGGTGACACATAAAAAACACAATTTTACGATTTAACCCACGAAATACAATTACTAAGATATTTAGAGTAGCTTGTAGAACCCTTTTTTTAAAGCACCTACATGGGTTAAATGGGATCTATTTGTGTGAACGGAGATAAATTAGTTCAAGTATGTTAAAATTTGTGCCCAGGGTCCAAATGCCCAGTTACAAAGAGCTTGTAAAAACCGAACATATATATTTTATAGTTCTATTGACAGAGGAAGCTTTTGAAACATATTTTTTTTGGAGTAATGAAATTTAGAGTGGTCAGAAAATTCAGCCAGGAACAAAGGTGTTGATTACAATTTGATTACGATGACCAGTTGTTCAGAGAAACAGGTTTCAATGTCTCGACATCTTGCAAGAGTGCAAACAATAAACCCACGAAAAGGTTCTATTATAAAGTAAGTTGTACTAAATAGACTACTTTGACGATACAGCAACCATCTTGGATTGCAAGACATCATGGGGCTTACTCGGGACAAATATAGAGCTAATGTGAAAATTGATGGCATATTTTTCTTCATAACACCTGTCATTATTACAGCAAAGACCATGCATTGATCCCCTTTTCCCATAAAAAAGACAAACACATTAAAGTTTACATAATATTATCTGCCAACTTTGTTTCGTTTTGCCCTCTGGATGCCCGCCCAAAATGACTTACAATTCAAGATGGCTGTTGTATCACTGAAGTAGCCCATTGTCCTAAACAATAGAAAATGAACTTTTGTGGCTTTATAGACCTCCTCGGCTCTGACATAATGCTTTCCTATTTCAGACAACGTGTCATTCCCTAGAGTATCATTTCTTTGTTTAAGGTTTGCACTCGGTTGCACATGAGAAGACACATGAATATGGATACAACTCAAGCAAAGAATATTATTCTCAAGGGAATGACACGTGGTCTGAAATGGGACAACATTATGCCAAGCCGAGGAGGTCTATTGTTTACTCCTTAGGCTAATATATCTGCTGTCTGCAAATACTTAATGAGCAAGAGGAAACATCTTTTTCTGAATAAAATAAATAGTCATTTCTTGGCTACATGTCGTTGAACCATTATGAGAGAAACAGGGCTTATACTCTAGTGTGTGCATGTTAACCAGCATAGAAAGACATATAACAGAAGTACATCCAACAATAATCACAGGCATCCCAGCCATGTTTTAGACAAATTTGATAGGAAATATAGGCTGTGCAAGTTCTAAATATAGGAAAATATAGGATTTTTCCCCAAAAATATATGCACTTTATATGAGCTAAAATAGCTTTTCAGTGGCGTAATCGCCAATGATTTGCAGAACCAAAAAAAAAGGAGCACCATTTTATTACCAAATATGCTAAACAGTGTAAAATGTAAATGTATCACTTAGCAGTCGTCCTATTTATAGGAAATATAGGAGGTTTTCTTTAAATATAGGCTCTTTATAGGATCCTATACAAATTATAGGAAATATAGGATATATAGGAGGTCTGGGATACCTGGAATCAGTACAAACAATCAGCTAAATGCCCAGTGCAAAATTAATCACATTGACACATGAAGACTTAAAAGAGAACAAGCAAACACATCATAATTTCCACTATGCACTTCAAGCCTAAAATTCAAAAGTTGCCAGTATTAACTGGATATAAGAAGGCAGCTAAAAAGAATTGCTGGCCTTAGGAGAGAAAAATTGCACAGCAGAGAGCTCCTTTGGAGATATTGTGATGACTGTTTGGCAACTCCCATTAGTTTTCCTTTCTGGCTTTTCGGCGGGTAACTCTCCTTGAATGATAAAGACAAATAAAATGTCAATAATCTATAACAATAAAGATCATCAACAAAGCCCCCTCCCCTCACCCCCTTAAATCAGTATGGAACTTGTGCCCGGCTACAGATAGATATTTCATAACTATTAAAATTTTTGTAAAGCCTTCATTTTTATACCTTTCAGGCTCTTCTTCCTCGGCATTCTCCTCCTCCTACGTGCCAGGAAAGAAATAGAAACTCATGTCAACAATGTTTAAATAATTACGATCATAAACTATGATTAAAATTCATCAAAAAACTGATTTCAAATCAAGAATATACCTTCTCTTCCTTCTCATCAACCTCCATTTTCTCTTCCTCCTGGAAGTAAGTAAAAACATTTTCTTTTTCATTTTATATCATTACAACTCTTAAATTTATTGTGTTTTTGTCACTCGGTAAAGATCTATAGATGTTAAGTGTATGCATATTGCAGATGTAATTACAAAGGCAGCACCTTCTCCTCAGTTATTTTAAGACCCTGAGTGTTAGTCCGGCCAAGGCTTGAACAACGACCTCCTGCACAACAGACCGACGCTCTTACCAACTGAGCTAACTGGTATTATGTATAATATATAATATACTATATACTAATATAAGTATTATAATGATGATATGAATTTCAATTTCATTGTCATTACTTCTTCTTCTTCTCCTACTGGCTCTTCTCTTTCCTCACTCTGTAAATTATACCATAAAAATAAGATATCAATCAGATGTTTAACCTATTTATACAGCATGGTGCAATTAGGTGAATCATCGTATTTAACATTACCTTCGTTTCTTCTTCCGCAACATCTTCAGTTGGTTCATCAGTCTTCTTCTTTGCTGCATCACTCTATGAACAATTACCTCAATGTTATGTGTTATTAACAAATAAAAGTTAGTAGTTACTAAGAAAATGCCTCCTGTCTATGCTAAATGAAACCTAATCCAATACACGGAAAAAAAACAGATTCCCAAATTGGGGATTTGAAGGGAATTTCCTTGAATTCCCAACGAATTCCCATCCAATTCCCAGAGAGAACGAAATTGGGAACGTGGCACTGATTCCCAATGTTATTTTGTTTGGAATTTTGTCTTTCTATTGGGTATTAGAAGGAAATTCCTAATAATAAATCCCAATGTTGGTGTTCGAATTGGGAATTCAAGGAAATTCCCAACAATTCCCAATTTGGGAATCCGGTTTTTTTCCCTGTGATACATGAAAACTAACGAGCTGAAAATTGTTTGTTTGCAGTCAGGATTGTTTTCTCTCTGAATTCAAATTAAAAATTGGCAGATGTTACGGCTAAGTTATTTTGCCTCTTTAGAGTCAGCTTAGATTTCATTAGTTAGCTCTCTAAACATTGGCAAGAAATGCTTCGATCAAGTTAGAAAAATGATATTTTGCTCATATTTAGAAAGCTAGCTAAACAAACCAAGTACATCATTCATTTAAAAGTCAGTACACTCGTAAGGAAATCCGAGAGCAATGTTCAAACTTATTGGTGACTGTAAAGACCAGTTTAGATGGTACGATTTTCGCCTACAACTATCGTATACAACACGCTCTCGTCTGTCGTAGGCAAGTTGTAGGCTTGATTTACACGCTACGACTCAAGTTGTAGGATGGCGCAAGCGTGTTGTATACGATAGTTGTAGGCGAAAATCGTACCATCTAAACCGGCCTTAACACAATGCAACACCATTTTGACTACGTGATGGCTAGCACTGAAAAGATCAATTGCTACATGCATGTAAGATTATGAGTTACAAAATCCACCATATCATATTCAAGCAAACCTATAAAAACCAGCATTTAATTACAAAATGCAACTTTCTGTCTAGACTTTACTTCCTCGTGGAATTAATCTTCATGTCAATCAATCTGTCAGCCACCAAGCTGCAAGAATGGCATACCCCTACCCTTGAGTTTCCACTAACCTTTCCTCCAGGGAAGCAGAATGCGGCAATGAGAACAAATGGAAGAATGATGACAATAACAAAGAGCACCCATAACCATGGTCGTTCATTAGTTGCTTCAAGCAGTCCACCAAGTACTCCACCCTATAATAAGCCAAACATAATTCAGGGTATTTCAACAAAATGTCTCAAAATGTGAGACCAAATTTCGGCCAACAGGATTCATTCTGGAGCATTTTTTATTTTAAAATGGATGACGTACCTCATCACTGCCTCCATAAGTTTCTTTAACATTCTTTTTCACCCAGCTAAGCATAACAAAAATGTTTTAGCAATATATAAAAAGAAAAAAATTGTTGTACAATGATAACTTGTTTACTCATAGAAAAATATCTAGGGTCTTACTGATTATAGTACGTCATAAAGAAACACTATTAATCAGTACCATTTTCTACACTTCACTGTTTTTTATTGGTGAGCTAAAATGTACCTTTCCTTGGCCCATTTATCTGCAACAGCTTTATCGTTGGTGATAATTATGTTGTCAAATAAGATTTCAGGTGTCATTGACCACAGCTCTAAACCAATTCCAACCTGAATCGAGGAAGAAAGAAAAGCATAATTCATATATTTGTGAGACATGTTGTAATTTGAAAGTTGGTGGCAAAGCTCATTTGATGATGATACATAATGATGATGCATCATGATGATGATACATGATAATGATACATGATGATACATGATGATGATACATTGGTGATGATACATTGATGATGATACATGATGTTGATACATGATGATACATGAAGTTGATAAATGATGATAATACATGATAATAATGATACAGTGATGGTGATGATAAATGATATGATATGATAAATGATAAATGATAATGACAATGGAATTAGATGGTAATAATACATGATGATGATAGTGATGAGAATGATGATAGTAATGGTGATTGTAAACACCAACTACTAAATATTCAATACTACTTACAATGCTAGTCATCTTAAAAGGCTCCTTATCTTCAAAGTAATGTGGGTTTGGGATCATTCTTGGCTTCCAGATACCCTAGGATTTTAGTGAATGGCATTATTAGAAATAATGAAAAGTCATCAAGTTCATGCATCATAAATAACAATAACAATATAACAACAAACAGCAGTAGTACCTTGTACTCTGGATTAGTTATTAATGGCGCCGACCACTTTCCTTTGAAGTTTGGATTGTCTATTTGGAGTGGCTTCCATTCTCCACATCCAACCTTCTCACATTTAGGATTTGCTAGAAATGAAAAAAAATAAGACATAGAATTAATACAAACCATAAGCTTATGACAATTAAATATTAAGGTATATGATACATACTGTCATATCCATCCAAAACGTCAGTTTTTTCATCTTTTTACGTGTAAAATATACCCTTTTATTGTTACTGTATCCATATGTAGTCTATCATTTGCTATAGCATAGTAAATAGTATATAGGAAATTCATATAGCCTATCATTAACGGTTTATGAAAATTAAGGTAATTGTGTACTTCATGACCAGCATTATACATGATGTTCGACTACTGTTGGTTGATAGTCTGCTGACTGTTGACCAACACTTGACCATCACTCCACCAAATTTATGGTGAATGGCGACCATCTATGGCAGTTGTTGGTAGAGTACTAAGGAATGATGGCTTGAATGATAGATCAATACTTACCAATCTGAGGTGCCTCCCATTCACCATCTTCATCATCATCCCAGTCATCTGGCTTGACTCCATTTGGGTCAGGAATGTATTCTGGTTCTTCATCAAGCCATCCTTCAGGTTTCTATAATACAAATAAAACAAAACTTTAATACTTCAAGTACAACACTGTGAATTGTAATGCATAAAAGAGCACTGATTTTGGAAAACCATGCCTCAATATTATATATACATACTTGCACTGTAATAAATTCCGATTGGTCAGTTCCTTCATCCCAGCACATATACTGCTATTTTCACAATTAATGTGTGAACTGACAAGCCCTGAGCTGCACACTGCAATTTGATTTTTTGCTACTGTCGATTAAAACTAATTAGTCCATACCTTTCATTTTTTGACTGGCAGCAGCAAAAAAAAAACAAATCTCAGTATGCAGCTCGAAGCTACAAAGTTTGCATGTTTATGAAAATAGCAGAAGTGTTAACGAGCAGTTTGTTATCCATGATAGTTAATGAAGAATTCCACAGCATTAAAACTCCCTTAAGGTTGCTTCTATAAAATGTTCTTTACCTTTGCATCAGGGTCAGCAATCTTTGGTGGAGCATCCTCATCCCAATCGTCAGGCTTCTCTGCATCAGGGTCTGGAATCTTCTCTCTTTCATCCCAATCCTCTGGTTTCTTGTCATCTGGGTCTTCAATCTCTTTCGAGGGGTTGACAGCAGGGGTCATATCTTCAAGCAGGCTACCTTTACTAACACTCTCCTGGTCTACAAACACCTCAAAAGTGTTATCAGGTCTGACGACCAGGGTAAAGAGATGTGTCTTTTTGCCATCAAAAACACCTTGAAAATTCCCACTGGGTTTCTTTGCATGTTTCTCTTCAAAACTTCCATTGACAGGATTTTTGTGCCGGAAAATGAAATGCAGCTGGAATAAAAAAAGTTAAAAATTACTGTAGATCAAAAGTTTGACATGTTTAAGTAGGTAAGAGCACACCAATAGTACATCTGGGGTGCCAATTGACTATGTTCTGTGTATGACCTGCATATACCACACACACATGCACAAAACAATGCCCTGTAATATATATTCTGTTATCCAAATTCAAATGCATCAAGCTGATATTTGACCGATTTTTGTCAAAAYTGGTATGTAAACGTTTTTTTTGTGTCAATAGAAATTAGAGATCAAAAATAATTAAAGCCAAAATTTTTTTGTGACATCACACTTGATCACTCTATTGACTTGAAAGTGTCCCATCTATTTACTGTATCTCTATAGACACACGCTATTCCCTACCTTTCGGTCTTCACCACACTTGTCAGGCCCAAACATGATGGTATAAGGACTCTTGTCCGTAAAAGTCTCCTGTATTTGGGAAAAGAAAAAAGCAGACAAGTAGATCATTGACACGTGGCTTAAAATAACAGCCAGACATCAGACAATGTCCAGCCCCATGACAGAGTTTGACATTGAGAAATTGACTTAAATAGTATAAAAAATAGGATTCTACGGACCAGGAAAGGTTCTCTTCCCTAGCATCCCTTCCCCTAGTTATTTTATGCCATGAAAGATTTAAAGGGCAACACTTATCAATAGGGATTTAAGAAAGGAATATAATTATCAATATGTGATGTACATAATGCACTTGTACTTTCACTACCTGTAATCCGGAACTACCCCTCCCCCTCCACTGTTGAGGATGCCAATTTTCCCTACCACTCACCCAAGATTATCAAAATGACTGCCGGTATTCCATAAATGTTTAATTCTATTATTCACCCAGTTCTATATTTTTAACTTCTGTCACTTTTTCCTCTGACACCCTCAGTTTATCATTAACCAAGATTCTTTGAGACTGTTATATGCAAAAATATAATGCAATACAGTACTCCATTAATTAAATAAAAAGTCGAATCTTACAGGAGAAAAGCCTTGTCCATCGGCAAGAAGCTTGACATATGCACCACCACATTCCATGGACTGTTGGAACTTGACTTCATATCTGAACAACAATATTGATCAAAAAAACAATCTTGAGATGAGTCACTCATAGTTGACTAAAAGCCATGTTTTCTAACTCCACAAATCACTTTAACAACAAGATATATACATATGTGTAGAAAAATATGAACAGAAATCAAAAATAACTATAAAATAACTGTTTTAAATCTCACGTTCTGATTGGTTAGGAACTTGTGGTTTATGAGAGCACACAGCAGGGGCATGCTATGCGTCATGCTTCTCCTAACACTTCTCTCGTATTCTGCCAAACCCTGTGTGCTTTATAACTGCACATAGCACACGCTCACATTTTCTATTTCTTCAATAGCACTTACTGGACAATGAATGGCTTGTCCTTGAAATCAAACTTTTTGTCAAGTTTGGCAGAGATAGCATGGTGTCTTGCTCTTGACTACAAGAAAATATTTAAATTGTGAGGCTTTAGTCAAATAGTACTTCACGTTTGGCATAAATATGTAATACCAAATGAAATAGTCTACAGCACTATATCTACTTATCCAGAGGCGTGGCCAGGGGGGCTAAGGAGGCCTGCTCCCCTTATTCTCACACTGTAGGAACCAAAACAAAAAACATGTATTGCCCCACCCCAAGGCAAAATCCTGGCTATGCCCCTTTGATCCTTTTGCAGTTTGATGTAATTTTAAACATTTTATTCCAGAGAGCCTCTACTGTGCTAGAATTCTAATATCTTGAACATGGTATATCCAGCTCAACACATTAATGCTTGACAAGAAGTTAGGTAATTACAAGTGAAACATTGGAATAAAAAAAATCAAGGATGCAAGGTTGCCCTCGACGAACCTTAAGAACAAGACCAATGTCTTCCTTAAATAACTTGGTTAAAGGTTCTTCAAATGACCAAACACCTAGAGTGCAATATGATAAATATGATGAGAATTAATGATGATGATGATGCAGGTCTTGAAATAAGAGCTGGTCAATAGAAAATATCCAGTCAAAACTTTGCCTTGCATGTCAATTTAACCAGTAAGGTTGAGCCAGAAAAAAGGTATGATGCAGCTAAAACTATTTGCTCTGTCATCATGACTGACCACTATCTCATTGATCATGCAACACATGACCACAAAGATTGAAAATTTTATTCTATAGAAATTTCTTTTTTTTTTTTTTATGAGAAAAACTGGGGCACGGGTTCACCTGTCCCTTGTGAAAACTATGCATATGGCCCTGCACTACTCTTTGAAGTACAAAATATAATAAAATAACTGTTGCCACTGTTATTATATATAGTACATGAAAAGGAATATTCCATTTTATAGAGATTTTACGAGACACATACCGTCATACTTGGCAATGTTTTCATCAACACCATCTTTCTTAGCTTGGGATTGAATCCATCTAAGATAATCACAATTAAAGTTAATTTAAAATACAACTTGAGATTAGACAATAATGCAAATAAAGGCACTTATAATGTTGTGCATATTCAATGATAATTCTGAGTCTCACTTTACTAACGCGGACCTCCTACCCCCCCCCCTCCCCCCCAACCTATATAATGTTGGCTTTTGAGGGGAGAAATTTTTCAAAACAAAAACAAAAACAGGTTATTTAAATGGGAATACAATTCTCTATACTATAAGAAGAGTTCCAGTACCTCATAATGCACAACAAGACAAGTTTGGAAAGTTTAAAACAGGTGTTTTCCTACACATATACACTTCATGTCTTTAATATTTAACAGCTGCGAGTAAAAAAGTCTGAGCAAAAACGAACACCAAAGGCAGCATCAACAAGTTAAAATATTTTTTCCGATATAAATCATTCATTCCTTGATAGCATACAAGTCAATAACCAAAGCGTAAAGGTGAATTGAAGGTTTAAGGCTTATAATTTATGCTCAAGATACCCAACTGATGAGGATGTGGCAAAGAACGGGATTGCTTAAGTACTTCCTGAACAGTTTTTTTGAAGCATTTCTTTACATTATACGCGTAACTTGCCTTGCTTTATAAACAGCTGGGTCTGCAAAGGGTTCAGCAAGGAAAACAGAGTCTTGGTGCTCCACAGAGATGACGGGTGGCGTGTAGTTTTCAATTTCAGTCGGTTTCTTTGCAGCCGGCTTCTCCTGTCAAAAGAATATGGACTTGCATTTCTTTGATCGACGCTACGCATAAGATCATGTATTGGAATCTAAGATTCGTACCTTCTCTTCTGATGCTTCTGGTTCTGGTTCAACYTCAACATCTGGTTCATCTAGGTCAGCTACAGCGTCTTCTTCAACTGCGTCCTCTTTGTCAGCGAAGCCGACAGGAATCCATGCAGTCAAACACAGAACAGCCAAGTACAATAACACAATGCGATAAACTTGCATATTTAGGCTWATTTCCGAGAGTACAACCTAAACGACAAGATGCCTATGGTTTAGGACGGTCCTGGAGGAACAGAGGGAGAGATCCTTGGAAAATATGGGAGGAAGATTAGAAAGTTATAACTAGAAATTCAAATTAAACGCGTGGAAGCAATTGAATGGTTAGAAGCACAGAACACATGGCCGACCTTACGCAAGAAGAATGGGTACCTACTATCAGGACCAATCACTAACCTCGTTATATCTACAAATTTCCMTCTTTCAAAATTTTAGTCTTATTTTGACCAATTAGAGGACCTGAAAGAAATAAAAATGCTGATTATATAATCAACCAATGAAAAGATTTGTCATATCGTATTTATTGTTTGAGTATTGACCAATGAGAGAGTATGTAAGAACGTACAGCTTCGTGTGACTCTCATGTGACATAACAGTCTTTGAAGGGAAAATGGCTCGTAAAGTTGTTGTGCTTTCTCTCTTTGTTTTAGCTTTTTTCTCCGTTTCTGAATTATGCCAGGCTAGGTCTTTCAACATTGACTACACCAACAACCGTTTTGTCAAAGATGGCCAGCCATTTCGGTATATTTCGGGTGGTATGCACTACTTTCGTGTGCCACAGTATTACTGGAAGGATCGTCTTGTCAAGCTGAAGGCRACAGGTTTGAACGCTGTTCAAACTTACGTTCCTTGGAACTTACACGAGCCTGTTCAAGGAAAGTATAATTTTGAGGGAAATGCGGACCTTTTGGCTTTCCTCAATCTAGCTAACAGCCTAGATTTACCCGTCATTTTGAGAGCTGGGCCTTATATTTGTGCGGAGTGGGACTTTGGAGGGCTTCCAGCATGGCTTTTAAAAAACACTTCTATCTCTGTGAGGAATGTAAATGATGCAATTTATATGTCAGCAGTCGAATCGTGGATGGGAGTCTTACTACCTAAGATAAAGCCCTTCCTGTACAATAACGGCGGCCCTATAATTATGGTACAAGTTGAGAATGAATATGGCAATTATATTTACTGTGATCACAACTACATATCAAGGCTTGAACAGATATTTCGCAGTCACCTTAGCAACGATGTAATTCTATTCACAACTGATGCAGCAATCCCTTCCATTGTTCATTGTGGAACACTCCCTTCTCTGTTCACTACTATCGACTTTGGACCAGAAACTGATCCGGCAATGGCATTTAAAGTTCTGCGAAAATACCAAAGCAATGGTCCCTTAGTGAATTCTGAGTATTACACTGGGTGGCTTGACTTCTGGGGTGAAGAGCACCAGACCAAGAACACGACACTTGTTGCCGAGTACCTGGACAAAATTCTAGCATTGAATGCTTCAGTAAACTTATACATGTTTGAAGGAGGCACTAATTTTGGGTTCTGGAACAGTGGCAATATGGATAGCACCCAGTTTAAAGCCGTACCAACAAGTTATGACTATAACGCACCATTGTCAGAAGCTGGCGACCCTACCCCAAAGGTGTTTGCATTGAAAGAGGTTATTTCAAAACATGAGAAGATACCTGATATACCAATGCCTCCAGCAACACCAAAATACCCTTATGGTAAAGTTGAAATGAAAGAACATGGCTTATTGCTTGATTTCCTTCCACAGTTGACTCCTCTTGGCCCAGTCAAGTCTAGTACTCCACTTACAATGGAGCAGCTTGGCCAGAACAGTGGGTTTGTTCTTTATCGCAGTCAGATTCCTGCTGCTTTCCTTCAGTCTTCACGGATGATAGAGATTAAAGACCTTGTTCGTGATAGAGCTATTGTCTATGTAGGGCACATTCGGCAGGCAACATTGAACAGAACAACTGGACAGTCACAAGCCATGCTGACTATAGGGGAATTCCTACAGCTTGACATTCTAGTTGAAAACATGGGCCATGTTTGTTTTGGATCCCACATGGTTGATCCTAAGGGCATTCTTGGAAATGTTACCATTGATAACGTTTTGATCACAAATTGGGAAATGTATCCACTTGCCCTGGACAATGTGGTTCATAATACAAGTATAAGCACTGAAATGAAACCAGGCAATGCACTAAAAATGGATAATGGGTTTGCACCTACATTCTATACTGCTGAAATTCCAGCAGTCCCTTTTGGCGACATGGGGTTTGATACATTCCTTCGCCTCGATTGGTGGACTAAAGGAGTGGTGTTCGTTAATGGTGTCAATGTGGGAAGATACTGGCCTGTTGCTGGACCCCAACAGACCTTGTACATCCCAGGAAGTGTTCTTTCTCCAAACCAGAAAACCAGTAAACTGGTAATCCTAGAGCTTGATGATGCCCCCTGCGACTACCCAGAAACATGTTTTGTGGAGTTCGTAACAAAGCATGTTGTTAACGGCACAACTACTCCAGTGTTTGGCAAGACCAGGAAATCCCTCAAAGATCTTCATTAGCATTACTTGAATTCTCTACCAATAAGTCAAGGATGAATGATTATCCACTGTCAAAGCTCTGCATTTATTAAGATGAAAATTAAAGGTGTTATAAATTTCAGTTATTGACAATGAAGGGAGTTTTCTAAAAATCTTAAAAATATGAATTTATATTTATCAATAACAAATATTATGATTGCGTAAACAAAACAATATTTATATTATACTAAAAATAATGATGATAAATTTTAAGAAAGTGATTACATTAACTAATTAATTTTGTGATTGTGTAAACAAACCTGTCATGGTAATGATAACAATAATAATAATGTACATTCAAAATTAAGGTACATGTCTAAAACTGATCAATGAATGTGGCTCAAAAGCAAGTTTTAGGATAAGTTAAATTCTTCAAATCCTTTTCCTTGACATTCAATAAAATGATTTCGTTGGTTTTTTTTAAAAATATCATTAACTCCCTTAAAAGCAATTGCATTATTTTACATTTTTTATAAAAGTTTTAAAAATTTAAAATTTAAATGCAAATAAAGTTTTCTAATAGATTTTTTATTAAATCAATCAAAATATTTTACAACAAAATATTATTTTGATAGTTATTAATTTTTTATATAATAAGGATCCAACCTTCAAAAATAAGCAAGATTTAAAATTAGATTTTTATATAAAGTGTGTGTGTGTGTTTGGGGGGTGGGGTTAGTGTGTGTGTGTTTGGGGGGGGGGTGAGTGTGTGTGGGCACGGGAGGGGGGGTAGGTTAATAGGACAATCTGTGAAGAAGCAACAACATGCATCAGCATTTTCTTGCTGCTTTACAGGGCACCTTTGTACACCCATCTCCAAATCTTCTGGATTGACATCTTCCTTTGCAAGATAAATTGAAAGTAGTTCCTCTCAATATTGTACTAGCAATTTATTGTGATGGTAACATTCATATCTTATCTATCGTAAAACCAGGGGGAAAATCATATTTCGATGGAAATTTTTACAYCTTGCAAGGCATCAAAATAACTATTCCAACAGCTTCGATAACATTTTAAACTTTTCTGTTACAACAAATATTATCTATTGACTGCAAGAATTTTGAACTTTTGGTTGCAACACACAAAAATCATTACCTGGGTTTTTTGACCAATGCTTTGCTCTTCCTCAGTATAACTGAATGCCTCTATTCTTTGTTTCGTCACATTTTTTTGTTTGTTATTTCTAAAATTAAAAAAAAATAGTGCATTATAATCTTCAAGGTCTATTTGCACCCTCTAACCTTGTCTATTTTTTTAATTWTTCCAAACTTTGTGCTCTACTAGTTTCATGCTCTACTACATCCTAAGGTTTGGAAAAAATACTTAATTGCTTCAAACAGTTTTCAATTAGCAAAAGGTTTTTTTTACCAAAGAGCTAACAGTACTCGTTGCCATAGTAATATCTACAAGATTTTCTAACAGACGTAGAGTCCAAATTAATGATTTCTCTTAATTGAACCATAGTTATATTATGATTGAACAAAGTTTTTCTTGCCTAATTTTCTTTTTTCTAGAGGAAATGCTTGCCAATTTCTAAATATCCAGTGRGATACTAATTGAAACTGTTAATGAGAAGCCTGTTAGACCCTGTTGAGAATTGATCCAAGGTGTTCGGGGTGTTTTTCTCTTAGACTCCATTTTTGATTAAGTTGCTTTGAAAAAAAAATCCATGCAGTTATTTTTGTTGCATTTGGTCGAGAATTTAAAAATAATGGTCGTTAAGGAACTGAGTCTTTTGTTCAGTTTATACAATTATGAATTTTCGCCTATGATAAAACCTTTGAGAAAGTACAAAAACCATATGTTTGCGAGGAAGTGACGTCATGTAGTTAGGATTAAGGCYTTAGTAATGAAACTGGTTAATAGTTGGATTACGTGATGGTAGCGATATGGCAATTAATGGGAGAGAKATATGGAATCATTTTTTCACAAGAAGCTCAATTTAGATAAAGGTGAAAATGAAATCGGAAAAATAGATTTGAATAAATTTTTTGAGCGTTTGTTTGAATGTCGCGTGATCTGTAATGTGCACAATATTAAGTCCAAGCTAAAGAAGTCTATTGGAGATCAAGATAGAGTGAAAAAGCTAAATAGCACTAGAACATGTTTTTCAAGAGATTTAGTTTACATAGAACGTATTGACTCGTGAAGCCAGTGAGATTTCGATTTATTATTTTGATTTATTAGTATTAGTAATATTATTATTGATTTTTGCTATCCAAAAAATCTAACGAACTTAAAACCTTAATTTCTTTAAAAGGTAATGAAATTTAGTTGAGCGAATAGAATAGCTAAGAGATCTGAAATCATTGGTAGATCGTTATGCTTGCTCGGATTAGGGAGCGTACTAGAGATTTCGATCGGATGTCTCCGTTATTAGTCGATAGTCTCTAGTTCACTCGTAAGAAGTAAACACAAATTCGTTATGAAGTGTAAAGCCCAATGTTGATTGTAGTTTAGGACTCAGTTTTTGCGCTATGTATGGACATGTTGTTTCTATATTTACTTTGCTAATTATCCTTCAGTCGTCAGTTTTTTTAACTCGGGTGTCGTGTTTTTCCGTTAGGTGCTTTATCTTTATATAAATACTTATATCTTTATAGCTTACCGCAAGTGCACTTAAAAGCTATAGGACCGATGGGTTTGCTAAAGTACTTTTCTCAAAAACTTCCTCTCGGTAATAATCCCCCAAAACTGTCCTTTCAAGTGTTTGTGATATTTTAATTTAACCGGAAAAAGGGATGAAAAACAAAACGAAAAAGGCAAGGATTAAGGAAAATAGAAACAAAAACCGAGTAGAAAAAAAAAAAAAGCGAAGAA